AAAGAGAAATAATATATATAAATGTGAAAAATAAAAAGTGAAATAATAAAAAGTGAAATAATAATAAAGGATTTTATTATTATATGAATATTTTTAGAATTTTTATATTTTTTGATTATTTTTGAATTTGCGATTTTTATATTACTACTATAATAGTATACTTTGATCATATAGAATAAACAAATATTTAATTCCAGGAACAATTAGAAAAATAAGCCAAAAATCTAGTGATCAATTAAAAAAAAAGATATTTCAATATTTTAATTTTATAGAGCAAAATCTTAACAGCAAGAATCCTGTTATATAATAAACTTTAATTAAATATTTTACTGGATCATTTATACTTAATATTATTAAATTATAAATATTTTATATCTTATTGGAAGAATATAGTCACATGAAATGAGTAAACAAATAAGCAAGTAAATGAACAAACAAGTAAATGAATAAGCAAATAAGTGAACAAATAAGTGAATATTGGACCAATAGAATTTAAGTGAACTAGTGAATATGAATTTGTATAGTTGATGAATTATAGTTTGAATTTGTAAAAAAAAATAAAAGAAAATAATCAGGAAAAAATTCAGTTTTTTAGTTTCAAAAAATTATCAGTTTTGTTAACAAATTTCTGAATTAAAATCTGATAAAAATCTAATTAAAAATGAAAAATGGGAAAAATAAAAAAATATATCCAGTAACTTTAAAATGTGATATCTCACGATCCACTAATTCAATTCAGATCAAAATATCATCATTCAATTTATCTAGTCTTGGCAAATCGAATGGTAATATTTTAGTCTGAATTGAATCAGTAAATTACGAAATATCATATTCTAAAGTTATTGGATATATTTTTTTATTTTCCCTGTTTTTTAAAAATGAATTAATATTTTATCACTCACTTAACCAAATTGGATAAGAATAAAGTCACATATTTAGTGAAATAGTGGCTGAATTTTGGTAAAATTTGGCTTGGTGAATCATAATATATCATGCTTTAAATTAAGTGTTCCAAAATAAAATAAGTTTTTTTTCAAAAAATCAAAATTAATTCAACAACTTTGAAACATGATATCTTATGAATTACCAAACCATTTTTGTAAAAATTACTATCATTGAATTCATTAAAACTAGATAAATTTAATAATAGTGTGTTTGGAAATAATACATTTATTTTAATTTTGAACAAAAAAATCAAAAAAATCAAAAAAATTAATCTGATAACTTTGGAACATGATATCTCGCGATTTACTGATCCAATTCAGACCAAAATATTACCATTCAATTCGCCAAGACTAGATGAATCAAATAGTGATATTTTGATTCAAATTGGATCAGTGGATTGCGAGATATCATGTTTCAAAGTTACTGGATTTTTAATTAGATTTTTATTAGATTTTAATCTGGAAATTTGTTAACAAAACTGGTAATTTTTTGGAACTAAATAACTGGATTTTTTCCTGATTATTTTCTTTTATTTTTTTTATAGGTAAAGCAACATGTATTATAGCTATTAAAATTAGATTAGAACAAGTTCTTCAATAGTAATATTCTTAATTATCATCTTATAATTAGTTATCATGTAGTTTTAATTATTCATACAAGCAAAGGTTATACTTATTATAGAGTAGGTAGTCAAGTGCAAATTTCTCTCTACATCTTTTTAACAAAATATTCTTGTATAATTACTTCAACACTGTTGTTATAAGTGTTATACAAATCTTGAATTAATATTATAGTAACTTAAACAAGATTATCAGGAGTGCTATAGAAGTTATTATCTTAATATCAGATTATTTGAACACATTTGTGATGAAACCTAATAAACATTATATGAATAAAGAAATTATTATTATAATTCATAAATTTATCTTTGAGATTATATTGTTAATAATATATTGCTCATAAATTCATTTTTGATATTATATTGCTAATAATATATTATTCATTTTTGATCTCATATTGTTGATAATATGAATATTATAATTTTTATAACTTTGACTCTGAGATTTTGAGAACTCTTTTTAGCAGTCCAAACTATTGTGTTTAAAAGAATATAATTGTTATTAATCTTTAAGTGATTTTATTATTAGTACTTTTAGTACTTATTCATATTCAGTCTAATAATTATAAAGTATTATTAATATCTTGAATTATTGTTAAGACATTGAAAGTTCTTTTTGAATATTTCTTAAATTTTAAAAATACCTTTGAGTATTTCAAAAGTCAATCAAAATGATAATAATACAAAAATAACAATATTACTAAATTATTTCAAGTTTATAATCAAAATCAAAGGAAGTTATCAAAATAATTAACTTATCAAAATTTAAGTTTAAATTTTATTTTAAAATTTTTGATAAAGAAATTTCTTTAAGTATAAAATATATTTTTGCATATTTAATTATAAAAAATTACATAACTAATAAAAATATTCTATTTTTAAATATATTTCTTCTTGAAATTATATTAAAAAATATAATATATTTAAAAAATATATATTTATAAAGAGTAATAATTAAAAGTATAATATGTATATTTATAGAAAATATATTTAGAAAGATTTTTTATATTTATATTAGCTTACAAATTAGTTCAAAAACTAATTTATAATTAATTTATTTTTTCTAATAATTTGTTAATTTTTATATACAATAACTAACAAAATTATAAAATTATACATGTAATTTTATTAATAAAATATAATAAAAATTAAAATTTTGTTTTATATAAAAGTTTTCAATTTTATTAACAAATATTTTTATTTTTATATCAAACTAAAAATTATAATTTATATTTTAACATATATTTTTTCTGAATTTTTAGATTTAATTAACAAAGTTACTCTAATTACAAAGTTATTGTAAAAATTTTTTATAATTAAAACATAAAATTAATTATAAAAAATTTTTGTAATAACTTTGCAATTAGAAAAAAATATTAATAAAATTTAAAACTTTTATACAAGACAAAAATCCAATTTTTATTATGTTTTATTAATAAAATTGCATGTATAATTCCATAAGTTTGTTAGTCACTATATTTAAAAAGCACTAATTCATCTGCTAATTTATTAATTAGCTTGTTAGTTTTATTTAATTATAATTATCAATAATATTTTATCTATTTATAATTTAATTTAATAAATATACTGTAATTGGCTGATTAGAATCTGAGTGTTAAGATTCTGGATATGCGATTGGCTAATATTGATTCTTATTTAACTGTTTTATTTTTTAGAGAAATACATAAAAGCTAAGTAAATGAAAGTTTGGTTGGTTTGTAATGCAAATTCTACAAAATTATTTTGCTAACAAAAAATCGACAGTGTACTTCTTTACACGTGGTTCTGACATCATTTTGTCCAATCAGAACTCAGGCCATATTGTCATTACCACAAGACTTTTTTCATAGTGTTCCCTTTAATCATTTTTTGTCCAAATATATAATATATCGAGATATCATTTGTTGGTAGCAAACAAATACGGCAAAAACGCACAGCACCATTTCTGCAGTCGGCTGTTGTGCAAATAAGTTCCAAAAAAAATTCTTAACGTTAAAGGAATTCGTCACAACGCCCCCACTCTCTCATTAGACTGTTGATCAAAAAATTCAAACACGTGTGAGCTCTACATCTTTTTCTTTTTTACTCAAAAGTGTGCATTCTTTTGGTGGGTCTATTCATTGCTTACCACAAACATTGACATCAGTAGAGCAAATTTGAAAAGACAACATGGAATGGGGACCACAGCCAGAAGGTCTTTCACAGCTATTGCAGTTGTTGAAAGATTCAGTGTCTCCCAATAATGAAATTCACAATCAAATACAACAAGTATCCTTTTTCATTTCTGAATTATTTGTTATAACGAAAAACTCTATATTTTTGATCTAGAATTTATTTATGCCATATTGCTCGATCTTGTCCGCAGCAAGTCTTTAGTGGCAATATTATGAGTCTTGAAAAATATTAATATATTATTACCCTTGATCAAAAAAACAATTAATACTTTGAATTCCTTTAGAAACTCGAATCATTCAACAAAATAGTTGATTATCCAAATTACCTAGTGTACATTCTGACACAGATGTCACAAGAGGATGCATCAACTCGTGCAATCGCAGGTCTACTTTTAAAAAACACAATTCGAACATACTTTCAAACTATACAGCCGGATGTTTTGGGATACGTCAAAGCATTAACAATCAAAGGTCTAGGTGATCCTGATACTATGGTTCGAGGTATTGTCGGTAATGTTATTACGACAATTGTCACAAGAGGAGGGATATCAGATTGGCCTCAAGTTATAACCTCTCTGATGGAGTTGCTCGATTCTTCCGACTATAATTATTTGGAGGTTTGTTTTTTTGAGATAATATTTATGCTTTTTTCTTTTAATATAGGTTGAGTACAATAGAAGCGGTGTAAATTATCTAGTAAATTCTAATACAATTTACACTGTTTCTATCGCACTCATCTCATATATATCGAACTTTTTAAGAAAATAACATTGTTTATTTAAAACTTATAAATTGTTTATTTTGTTGTGAGGAGGAAAAAATTTAAGGTCGTTATTCTGAATTTTTGATTAATAATTTTGCGTATAATTATGCATTCTTTCGTAATTTAATTAGGGTGCCTTTGGTGCTCTTCAAAAAATATGCGAGGATTCTGCGCGTGAGCTTGACCAGGACATTGGAGGCACAAGACCTCTAAACTATATAATTCCTAAAATATTACCTTTCTTTGACTCACCTCACTTTAAAATCCGAGTGTACGCCATTTCTTGTATCAATCAATTCATTCTTATGCGATCAGAATCTCTCGTTCTTCATATCGATGCCTTTGTAAATGCTCTATTTAAGCGTGCTTCCGACGAGAATAGCGAAGTACGAAAGAATGTTTGCCAAGCATTGGTAATGCTGCTTGAAGTGAGACCTGATAAGCTTATTCCTGAGATTGAAAACGTCGTCGCATACATGCTATTTTCCACTCAAGACCCAGATGAACAGGTGGCACTCGAAGCGTGCGAGTTTTGGCTGGCTTTTGCCGAACAGGAGGAACTTCGTGAGCACTTGCGCCCATTTCTCAACAGAATTGTTCCAGTATTATTAAAGGGGATGGTATATAGTGAAATGGATATATTGACTCTTGGAGGCGATGAAGACGACTCTAATGTTCCTGACCGTGAGCAGGACATAAGGCCGCGTTTTGTTAGACCAAAAGAACGTTCTTTCGAGCGTACCGAGACAAATGGTGAGCAAATCGCTCAATCTTCTCGAACTGAAGATGAAGACGAAGATGATGATGACGATTTGGAAGATGAAGACATTTATTCTGAGTGGAATCTTCGAAAATGTTCGGCTGCTGCTTTGGACGTACTGGCAACAGTATTCGGAAATGAGTTGCTAGAGATTTTGCTTCCTTTCTTGAGGGAGCAGCTTTTCCATCAAGAATGGAAGCATCGCGAATGTGGTATCTTGGCGTTGGGTGCTGTTTCGGAAGGCACGTATATCACGAAATTATTATTCTTATTCACTATATGCAATGATCTTAAGCTCAAATATTAAGATACCTTGTATAAATAAAATAGGGTGTATGGAAGGCGTTGAACCTCATCTTCCTAACTTGATTCCTTACCTAATACAAACTCTTAACGACCCAAAGGTATTTAAACTTATTATAGAATAAATTATCTCGCTTAATATTCTTTAATTATGTTTTTCTAATCATTATCGTGAATAATTTTAAGCCTCTTGTTCGTTCTATCACTTGCTGGACATTGGGTCGGTATTCTCGGTGGTGTGCTAATCCTCCTAACCCGGCGCAAGATCGTATAAAATATTTCGAGCCTTTATTGGAGGGGGTGAGTTTTGCCCCGACGCAATATGATTTCTAGATTAGATAAACTCGAAGAAAATTCCTTAATTCAATTGCTTTTGTTATTTTTTCAAATCCGGTGAATAATTAATAATTCTCTAATTCATCTCAAGCTCTTGCATAGAGTACTCGATAATAATAAGAGAGTTCAAGAGGCTGCTTGCAGTGCTTTTGCAACCCTTGAAGAAGAAGCATGCGAATTATTGATTCCCTATTTAGATCCGATCCTTCGCAATCTTGTCTTTGCATTCAACAAATATCAACACAAAAATTTATTGATTCTGTATGATGCTATTGGCACTTTAGCCGACTCTGTTGGGCAAGCATTGAACAAACCAGAATCCATTGAAATATTAATGCCTCCACTTATCGAAAAATGGCACCTATTAAAAGACGAAGACAGAGATTTATTCCCGTTACTGGAGGTACTGCAAATATCATGGTTATTTTTGTTTTTGGAAATTAGTAATCAATATTATTCTTCAATCATAGTGCCTTTCATCAGTTACAACAGCTTTGGGACCAGGTTTTCAGCCTTTCGCACCTCCAGTTTTTGAACGTTGTGTTAAATTAATTCACAACACTCTTGCACAATATCAATTGCATCAACAAAACCCATCGTTGGATATGCCAGACAAAGATTTTATGATTGTTGCTTTGGATCTTTTAAGCGGTTTGACACAAGGGCTTGGATCTAGTATTGAAAGTATGGTTGCGAACAGTAACCCATCATTGCTTCAACTTCTGAGTGTATGCATGAGCGTAAGTATTCATCTATTACTTACTACAGATATCTTCTATCTATATACATCCATATCTTAAATAATTAGTATATTATATTATTATTGAATAATAGGATTCAGTCGCCGAAGTTCGACAATCTGCATACGCCCTTCTCGGAGACCTTTCTATCGCATGCTTTGAGCATATAAAACCACACCTCAATGGATTCATGAACGAATTGATTGGACAAGTAGATCCGCAAGCCGAGCATGTAAGTGTATGCAATAATGCAGCTTGGGCAGCTGGTGAAATAGCTCTACAATGTGGTATGTAATAAATCTTTCGAGTTTATTTTGGAGATTTATTTGTTTTTGTAATTAACAATAATTTTCATTATGTCAGGTCCTTTGATGCAACCATGGATCACTCCGTTGCTTGAAAGATTGATCCCTCTTCTAACGAATGAGAACACCCCGCGGACTCTTTTGGAGAATGCTGGTATTACTATCGGTAGACTTGGTCTAGTCTGTACTCAATTAGTTGCTCCCCATCTGGACGTATTTTCGGAGGCCTGGTATACTGTATTTAATTATGTTAAGATTCGATTAAAGGCAAATAATTTTCGTAATTGATCATTTAATAATATGAGTTTACATCAAAAAGGTGTAAAGCATTGAGAGGAATCCGTGACAATGACGAAAAAGTGACTGCATTCCGTGGAGTATGTGAAATGATAACAGTCAATCCTAATGGTATTGCTAAGGTGACAATCCAAACCCGATTCATATTTATTTTGAGAAAATATTAATTTATAATATCACTATATAGAGCTTCATGTATTTCTGCGACGCTGTCACCCAATGGCAAAATCCTCCTCCTGAATTAAATGAAATATTTCGCAAGGTATTCGAGTTCTGTATGACTATATATTGCTCCTGTTTTTATTTTCATTGTACTGAGAGAATCTCGATTATTGTAGATTTTAACGGGCTTTAAACAAATGATGGGCAATAATTGGGAGCAATACACTAGTCATTTTCCACCTGAAATAAGACAAAAACTTATTGAACGCTACGGACTTTAGACTTATTATGGTGCAATAATTGGAAATATTTGTCAATTAGGTAATATTATAACACATTATACATATAGATTGGGAACTTTATTTATTCCCTTTCAAATTCTAATTCACATTCATTGATTAATCTTGCAATATTGTTAAATTTAGTAGTAGTATTTATATTATCTTACACTCTCAGAGACACACATATACACACATTTTTATATTTTAGTTAACTAGTTAGTTTATTTGTAGCTTTGATATCCTTCACCTTATATCATCACACATACACCGCTCGTAAAAGTATTTCACGATATAATAATATGAGATTATTTTCAATTGAACCTTTCTCCCTTTCCTTTACTCTCCTTTCATCACGTAGTCATCACCCTTCTTTCCTGGTTTTTTAACTTTTTGATATAAAGGTAACATCATCGTCAAGAATCAATAGTAAGTAGTAAACAGCAGCCACGAAGATTATATTCGCGCGACTAGCAGGCGTGCAGTGACAGTCGTAATGATAAGAATTGAAAGATATCGTCGCGCCAATACACAAAAATTAGTGGTAATTATAGGGAAATAGTTTTTCAAGTAGTACTAGTAATAGTTGTATAGTACTAAACAAAGAAAATGCAAGAGATGTTTAATTGGGTCTATTCGAGACAGAGATTACAACTTTTTGTGTTACACACACAAACATTGTTAAACTAATTTGTAAGGTTTGGCGACTTATTTATTGGCCAGTTTTTTATGAATGAGTTGCATTTGGTCGCGAATTTTTGTAACAAATTCTTGTAATAAAGATTTTTCTTTTCGCCTAGCATCAGTATATTTTACCCAGCATTCGAAATTTATTTCAAATACAATACACAATATAAATTTTATTTACATGTTTAATTGCTCCGAACGATCAGAAAAAATCAGGTTAGAAGGATATTTCTCATTGCCGAAAGTTTTGACTGATTATCATTGTCGATTTCTCTTGCATGACTTGGGAAATTAGTTTCGCAAAGCGGAAATACTGGAGTTATAATATTTTTTTCTTTTTTTTTGCTTTCTTGCTTTATGCAGAGAAAGTTTTGACAATGAATCGATGATATATGATTAGAATGTAGGATAATATTTTTTGTCGCGCAATTACTTGACAATATTGAATATTATCGTTATACATAGTGTAATTATTTGTAATATGACATTAAGCATAAAGTAAATTTTACCTTGCAACTGCATCAACTCTTCAATCAAGAGTATATAAAAACTCAATAATTTTATCTGAATAACTAAAATAACTGGGATGAGTAGTTTGAAATTTTTTTATTTAGCTTGAAAATAATAGTAATATATTTTTTTCTGTTCCAAATCACATCCTAGAAAAAATTTGTTTTAGAAAAAACTGGAATGTGATCCTAAAAAATCTAGGACAAACTAAAAATATCATAATTAATATAATAATTTTTAATAAGTTGTAATTTAAATCACAATTAGTCACAATTCACAATTATTGCAATGTGCTATAATAATTACAACTTCTTATTTTGTAATAGTTATAAATTTTTATATTTCTATTAATAAATCATAATATGTTATAATATATCACAATTATCACAATTATCACAATATATCATAATAATTGCAACTTTTTATATTTCTATTAATAAATCATAATATATTATGTTGTAATATATTATAATTGCTATAATTGTTACAATATATCACAATAGTTATAACTTTTTATTTTGTAATAGTTATAACTTTTTATATTTTTATTAATAAATCATAATATATTACACTGTGTTATAATATATCATAATTGTCGTAATTGTCACAATATATCGCAATAGTTGCAATTTCTTATTTTGTAATAGTTATAACTTTTCATATTTCTATTAATATATTACATTGTGCTATAATATATCACAATTATTATAATTATTACAATTATTATAATATATTGTACTAGTTACAATTTCTTATTTTATAATAATTACAACTTTTCACATTCTTATTAATAAATCATAATAGTTATAATATATTATAATATTTATCTTTTTTTATTATAAATAATATGAATAATAAATTTAATATTTTTCTCTTTCTTTTGACTTATCTTTTGATTTACCTTCTGATTAATTTTTTTTACAAGTTTAACAATTAATAATTCTACTAATTTTACAAAAAAATCAAATAAAAAAAAATGAAAGATGTTATTTTTCATCAGTTTGGAATCATATAATTAAAAAAAAAGAAATCTTTTATAATCATTATGAAAGAATATATTCTTATTATAAAATATATTAAAAAATAATAAAACTAGTAGTAATATATATTCATTTGACTTCATATTATTTATAATATTTAGAATTAGTAATTATAGAATATATAAAAGTAATAACTAAAGAAAATATAATACTTTTAAATATAATAATAAATATCAAAAAATTACAAATTCTTCTTCTTTATCTATTTCTATTTCTATTTTAACTTTATTTATTTTTATTTTATTTATTTTTTTTCTAACTTTATCTATTTAATTTGATATTTAATAACATTTTAAAAGTATCAAAATTACCAGTTCTTATTAAAAGGATATTGATAATGCTTTGATAAAACTATTTATTTATTGCAATTTTGTATTTGTGATTATTAAAAATTCATTTTTTATAAACTTTTAAAAACTTTATGTTCTAATTATAAATCTCTTTTATAAAAAAAATTATTAATTAAACTTTTTGAATATAAAGTAATATATGTTATCTCAAAATTAAACATATATTTGATAACATAATAAATTTAATATTAGATATATATATAAATTATATTATTAATTATTATTATAATATTAAATATATTATTTATTATTGTTTTTATAATAATTTTAGATAGATAAACTTTATCAACTAGTCATTCACTTTGGAATTTTATTATTCTTACTCCATTTCATTAAGAGTATCTATTTTTTCTACAAAATCTAATAAAAGAATAACATATTAAAGAAAAAATATTAAAGATTCTTTAACAAATTAGAATTAAAAAATTTGATTTATTATATTATTTATTATTTTAATTTAATTTCATATAATATTTTAAAACATTCTTTTGTGATAAAAACTCTTTAATATTCTAATATTTTAGTTACTTATTTTAAAAAATCACATATTTATGATAACTTATTAGAAAAATTTATATTCAAAAAAAATATCTGATAATAGATTAAAAATATTTGTTAAAACTCAATAAATTATAATAACAAATTGTACAACTTTTGTTTTATATCTTAAAACTTGTTTTTTTTAAGATAAATTTAATATTATATATATATATATATACACACATATATATACTTATATTTATTTATTAATTATATATTAAATACAGACAAACCTCCCTAAATGCACCCCTCTTGGAACCATAGTATAGCATGCATTTAGAGAGGGTGTGCATTTATAGAGGGCAAAATATATAGAGCTCTTATGAGCTCGGATCCAGTCATACTGTGTATTTAGAGAGGGTGTGCACTTGTAGAGGGTGCATTTAGAGAGGTTTGTCTATATATAAAAAATATCAAAATCAAATAAGTAGCAATATTGTTAAAATTATTATTAACAAATATGAATTTTTTAATGATATTAAAGTTTTTATTAGTATTTTAATACTAACTAAAAATGTTATATTAAGTATTGAAAAAAATAATACTAATTTAGCAGATTATTTTATTGAATTTTTGCAAATTGATATTGTATTACAAAATTTATCTCAAGTAAATTATTATATATTTAAAAATTATTCTATTAAAAAATTCAATGAATAGTAAGTTAATTTTATTTATTTATTTTGATTTTATTAAAAAAAATTAATTAATTAATTTATATTTATTTTATAGATTTGCTAAATTTAATGATAATATATATATATATATTATTTGTTTTATATTCTCAATATAAATATAAATATTATAAAAAAATGAGATATAATAAAAATTCATATAATAAATTAATCTTTTAAATGTATAATTATATTCTATAATAATTATTATTCAATTTATTATATATTCTTATCAATCATATACTATTAAAATAGTAAAATAAATTAACTTCAAATTCTGACTATTAAATTATTTTTAATTATATTACATGTAACTAGTTATAAATAAACTTAATTATCAGTTAGTTAAATTTATGGAAAAAGAAAAATACACTTATCAATTCAAACAATTAAATCATTAACTAGAATATATTAATATTATATGATTAATATTAAGAATAAATTATATTGTTATCGATTAATAATGTTCAAAGAAGAAATTACTTAAATAATAGAAGATTTTTTAACTGAAAGTTATAAAAAGTCAATTAAAAATATAAAGTACAAATTATATCTAATTTGAATTTATCTGAATCAATTATTCAATATAAAAAAATAAAATATTAAATATTTCAAATTCTTTTAATTTAAAGTCATTAATAATTGAATATATAAATATTTTAAATAAAGAAAATAATAATTATAATATAGAAAAATTAGTAAAAATAATTATGTAAAATATATATAATATATAAAATATGTGAAACATATAACAATATATAAAATGTATAAAACTTTTTATTTTTTTAATAAAAATTATTTTTTAATATTTTTTGATAATAACTTAAGAACCAATACAAAAATTAATTATATAAAAAAATTTTGCTAGATATTTTTTGATGAGAATTATTTTTAATTAGTATATAATAATAAATTATTTAGCTTATTTTTGACTTTACTTATAAAAAGTTAGAAATTTTTTATGTTTTACTTAGAAAAACTTTTTGAATTTTGAAAATTAACTTATAAAGCTTATAAATAATTTTTTATTTTTAATAAATATATTATTTTTATTATAATATTAAAACTTATTTATTTATAAAATATTACTTTTTTTTATAAGTTATTAAAAAAATTATTTTTTTATATTTTTTATTATAATAATTCAAAAACTTAAAATAAATAATTTTAATTATAAAAGTTATAATTTTACTTAAAAAAAC